CAGGCTTGACAAGGCAATATGAAAATAATTAATTGATGTTCCGTTTAGAAAGATGCGGCAACTGATGGTTGATACGAAAGGCGGAGATCCAAACTTATAATAATATTAATTACATGGCACAACTTTGTGGTGTGCTTTATTATTGCGAACAACTGTTGGTTCATTGTATTATTTGGATCGCCTAGAAGTAAAAACAAACACCCTTTGCTTCAAAGACACAAGTGCTTGTATTGTTTACTTACACACAACAAAACATTCTTAAAGAATAGGATCCACTTGATGGTGTGACGTAATCAATAAATAATTACCTAAATGTCGTCTTGCTGTCTCTCAGAGCCTTGGGCAATGAACTAAAAAATTGTTCCACACTAAGAAGTTTAGTGCATTAGAATCTAGTATTTCTCAATTTCTAGTTATCTTACCGATCCTATCGCGAATTTTTACTAAGCAATTTTTTATCGAAAGAAATACATGTTATGAAACCCAGCCAAAGTCAATATACTTTCACATGATAATTAAGGATAATGGAGTTATCAGACCGTTTGTTATCACAGGTTAAACATATCGTCATAGGTAATTAACAAAATGTTATCCGGGACATTTATTTCTAAAGAAATGCAGAGTTCTTCTCAACCTGAACAACTTTAATTTCTTTCTGCCAAACAGAAATCTCAAAATGATCTAACATGTCTAGCTGCAAACGAATTGTTTATTTCTTACGGTCAAGAGCTTTATGAGAAATCTTTTGTTTTCTTTGCACATTAAGTCGGGTCCCTCAGGGCGAAATGTCTTTCGTGACTGATTTTGTTGTCATTTTCGAGAAATATTACACAGCAGGCTCTAGCTTCACGGCGGTCTTAATAAGCTTATCTTTCCTGGTGGTATTGCGTTTAGTAACGTTGAACCGTTCCTTAAAATGTTTCTTAAACTCGTGGGAATTGAAAGGAAGGGCATATAAAACCGTTAACAACACCATTGAGACCTTCAGCTTCAAATGATAATTACAATGTTTCCGTTAAGTCGCTGCTGTCCGAGTAAGAAATATTGTAAGGAATCAACAAAGACTGGGACTCCCACAGAACATCAGATGTTTATCCAAGCTTCCAAACGATTTTCTGACTACGGTAATGAGCATTCGTGATTACACGCAAAGGCTCATTTGTGTGGGTTTCATTTTTGCAGTTCAATGCACAGGTTTCACTCTGAAAAAAGCCTCAACTGAATCCCTCAACCACCGAGAGTGTCTTAGTTGCTTAAGACGAGTAACAGTCTCAGAGTAAGTATCATGTCATTCCATGGTGCTGGAATCTGATGGTTAATATCAAACCCGCTTTCCACAACGGAAGCAATCTTCTTTCTTCATGCTCTTTTAAGCTCTTATGGCTATTCTGTCTACTTCAAATTTTCATAACATGTCATGCTCAGAGGCAAAATAAGTATGCTAAAACATTTACGCCAACATATTTTGGAATCCAATCGCTACATTACGCTATCAGTGTCCATCAAAGCTCCGTTGTACACAGTGATGTGGTAAGCATTCCATCCGATGGATCAACTTCGGTGTGTCTTTCATCGTGGACAGACTTACCACCATAAGAGTTCCTTCTGAGTCTTATTTCCAACTCTGGAACAACTAACAGTCCTTCGATGTTTAGTTTGAGTAGTGAGCTCGTTCTCCGCGTCACTAAGGGTGGTTTTGCTGGGGACGTTGTGTCGGCTTTCTTGAGGAATATTTGTTTCTGAAGGTTGGATTCTTCCTGTTTTGATTTGTTACCCAGTTCGTTACTGTTTGACAGATCCTGGCCGTCTAAACTCAATGTAATGGTCACCTTGTCACCCGGGTGAATAACAGGACTGCTCATTGTTCTACAGGTCTCGATAAATGCTGGTATTAAACAGGTCTACTTAGGGATATTTCACCTTAGCCTTTCGTCTGTACGTGATCTACAACTTGACGTGATGTCGACCATGTACACCTTAAACTTTGATAATTGTTGATTCTCAATTACTCCGCGATATGAAATCCTTTCTCCAAACTTTTCCAACCGACATCACATCAGAAAGGCGACACTATAAGATTTTGTAGATGAATTACCAGAAATGATGTCCTTTGCACCTTTTCACCGCCTCGTTAATGTTGATTTTAATCAGCTAGTAACCACAGTTCCACTTTTAAGTGGCTTTTGGCAGTCATGTGACCAATCCCTATCTCTGACAGATCGTGTCATCTGCAAAGTGACGTGACTTGTAGAAAGATAATGTTTTCTTAAAAAGAAATAAATATTTTCTTAAAATATTAAAATCGTTGTAGGCCTTGAAAGTAATTCAAAGCTGTTTAAGAATACCTTTTGTTTGTTGAACAAGAGCATTCCGAGATGCTTGCATATTTGAATAGTAATATTGAAATTTTTGGCCAATGTCTCTCCTCTATCTGGATGTGTGACAATGTTTAATTGATGAATGCTTATTTATGTTAACGAGGGAAACTAGCAAGACAGCAGTGTAGTGTTTTGTCTTCTCAATAAATAAAAGTCGCATTCCATTCATTAGATTATCATAGAAAAGAAAACAGAATTGAGTGCGACTACATGCAGACAGCTTTAAAAGAAACTAAACTTTCTTATAAAGATTGGATAAAATTATTTTTGATTTTCTTCCAACCATGCCCTAAGGGCGTTTGCATATTTGCTATTTGCATGATTTTATTGGATAATCGAATATTTAATTAATCAGGAAATAACTGTAACGCAAAAAGCATGCATTAAAATAGCGCTCAGTTTAAGTGTTCTGAAGAGAAACCTAGATTCCTGTTGAATGCGCAAATGTAACCTAAAAATAGCCTTTAAGGACAATGAGTGACAACAGATTAAAACTAATTTGATATTAAGTTTTCCGGCTTTTTCGATTTAAATTTGCATGGGATGGAAAATATGGAAGCGATCCTTGCAGTTATGAACATAGTGGAAATAGGCCTCGTTCGGGATTTGAACCCATGACCCCTACGATACCGGTGCAACGCTCTACCAACTGAGCTAACACGCCAACTGGGAACTGGTTATTATATGTTGGTTCCAAATAAACCCTCGAAGTGGTGCATGACAAGGAAATATTGGGGAGTTAATTAAACCTGACACTGCGAGTCCTCTACACGGGCAGGCATTATTTTTAGCTTTATTAACAAAGTATTTAAAAGTTTGCTTTTAGGATAAAACGATTTTTTTTTCTCTGTAATGCGGTTAAGTGTATAGGTAACCTCCTCATAACAACAGTGAATCTTTATCCTAATCCTCTCTCTCCTTGTTTAAGCTTGGATTAAAAAAAATTTTAGAAGAGGTTACAGATTTCTCACGGACACGAACCTGATGTTTTCAAGTGCAGATTCAGTTGTAACAAGCGGAAAATGTGACATTTGTATTTTATCATGTCAAAGTGCTTGTGCACCTACAAAAGCAATTTTTCATTTCCTAGTTATGATTGATACTGAGCTGAGACATGAATAAAATCACACCACGTAGCCGCGGCAATATGAGCTTTCCATTGAAAAGTATTATTTGATGATGCTGTTATTTCGGCTCATTTGTATTAAACAAATCATTCAAAAACTAAATCAGTAATTGTCATTAAGTAGAGCAAGGGAGACAAAATAGATCCTGATATGGGTCGGTTATTTCAAGAAAGCTTACCCGTTGCTTAACCCTTTACTGCCCGTGGGAAATGCCAATTTTTTCTTAAACGAGGACGATGAACCAATAGACCTACGTTTGAAATATCATTTAGAAGGAATTTTCGACTTGGCTATGTGACACAGTTTCTCCAGGGAAAATGAAAACTTTAAATTAAATAAAACTCGAAGATCCGCCTGACTGATAAGTAATTTTCCACTCGGACAGCCTCAGATTTCCCTGAAAAATGGTCTAGCTAGTTTTGTGTTACATTAATATAAGCTCGCATCTTTTCTCGTCACTCGAAGACGTATTCCTTTAAACAGAAAGAAGCTTGAAAATAATCGCTCGCTATGGAAAAGAAAACCAGTTAAAAAAGATTAAATCAAAAACTTCCGGTTATGCTTAAGGATGAAAGAGAATGACACGGATTGTAAACAAACACAAAGGATGGAGGAACAAGAAAGATAAACCAAGAAGAAGTAAAAATGGCTGAGGATGAAGAATATTGAGATGGACGGTAAATCATTATGTCAGTTTGGTAAACTAAAAAAACAATAAAATAGGCGATAAGATACCAAAAAGAAACATTGACGAGAGAAGATGGCGTTGGTCGAAATGGATTGCTTTGGTTTTCAAGATACACAAACCAGGGTTTTTTAAAATTTGTATATATATATATATATATATATATATATAAGAAAAATATATATAAAATATAAAAATATATAAAAAAATATATAAATAAGAAAATCTATCCTCCAAGCTTCTTAAGCATGATGAGAAGTTGTAATGAGCATACGGTTCCTTACACATGAAATCAAAATGAGAAAAATGAACCGATATCACTTCGAGGATTGCACTAGAATTTCATTTAGTACTGAACGCGATAGGTATTATGGGCAAATTTCGGGTCATAAAAGTAAACTGGGGGCTTAAAACGGATAAGAGAAATAAAGCCCTCGATAATTATCGCCATAGTACGAAAGCAAAATCCATTTATTATTTGATGTCAAGTGTAAGATGTGACGTCAAACAATACTTTTCGGGAGGTGTTAAGTAATGAAAACAGTGCATGCCAGCTGATAAATCTGCCCGTTTTTTACAAGTGACTAATTAGAAAGAATTTCAGATGCGAGTCCGCCGCATGTGCGTTCTATCAGCTTTATTATGTTTAAAGATAACGGCAAATTTCTTCACAAGGTGTATCGTTACAGTTACCACAACAAGAAAAAGCATAAGGATAACCTTGCTATACTGAAAATGTTCATACGTTAATATTCCCATATTCCAATACAGGCTTGTAGGTTAAAGGTTTCGCCAAAAGATAGTTGACATTCAGCACTTTATAAAAGTTCACTTTTCCCGGAAGACTACATGCGTGCGTGCGTCTGAGTGTTTACGAGCATGTTAAGTCAGTTGGTAGTGAAAAGGATAGCGCGTTGGAGAGGTGAAAATCATCATTGCGTTCATATGAGCTTGTAAATTTAGCCAGAAGATCCTATGTACGTTTTGCCAAAAGTAGATCTTTTACTTGCCGTTTTTCAAACCATACAATTTCACGACACTAAGAATATGTCTCAGCTTAAAAAATCGATTGCAACAGGAGGGTCAGCAGTAATCAAGTAAAGAGCTAAGACGGTGTAGGTTGAGCAGGATTAACTCGCTTTGCGCATGAAGAATGTTGTCCAAATGGACGGCTGAACAGTTTATTCTCATCAGTTAATTCATTTGGTCATTATTTGATTCGACTACTCGTTCTTTACTCCATAATACAGATTTAATTTACTCAAATTAACATTTTAAAGCCATTTTTCAATGTTCGAAATAGTGCCGTTGGTGTGTTATTCAATCTATGCATCTGTCACGAGTGGGCGACACCTAGGATAAGAAAAAATATAAGTTAGGACAATGCTACTTGCTACTTGTAATTTCAGCTCCCTATAGCTAACGGCAACTAAATGCTGACCTTAGCAATGTAAACGAATGTTTGTGTTTAGCCTACAATGCTAACACGTGATAATCTTTGGTCACAGCTAAATGTAATCTTATCACAAATTTGCTTATCAGTGTTCTGAGAGACTAGGATGCAAATTCCTTCAAAGCCTGAATTTTTGGAAAAGAAAACGACTGTTTTTAGTTTACGATGCTAACACTTGACAATCTTTGGCAAAATGAAGTATTATCAGAAATTTGGTTATCAGTGCTCTGGGAGACTGGGGTGCGAATTACATCAAAGCTTACATTTTTCTTCAGGCTGGCACTATTCGCAATTCATAGAAAGAAGAGTGATGCAAGGTTTCTAAGCCAATCACAGTGCGAATTGAGGAAACAACAAAGCAATCACGCATACTGTCAGCAGTTATTAGGAAATTGTTCTAGATATGGGAAATACACCTTTTGAACTAAAGGTGTTTTATAAATGGGGAGGGATTTGAAAATCACAGCTAGTAGAGGATCCATCGATGGAGTTTGTTGAGTATTCCTCCTGGAACTAATTAATGGGCCATTTATCGAATAAGAATTCCTAGAAAAGTTTAATATTAAAATCCCTCGTACCCGTAAGGGGCATCTTCGGGTTGTAGGCCTCAATCACTGAATTGAATCGGGTGAGATTTCGAGTCGCCTCGGTATCCATTAATAGCTACAAAATATTCAACGGCTTTTAAACATCATAGACCATTGACGATGATTTTATCTTTACTTCGAGCACTCACTGAAAAGCACCAGACATCAAGCCGACTGACTGAAGTGATATCGACAGAGAGATGTTCCAGATAAGGATGGACTGCTCGGAACCTTGGCATTCAAACTCTGAAATTGCTAGTTCATTTACTAAAACGAATGCTCACAATTTAAGTGAATCCTTTAGACTTTTTTGCAGCTTGAGTTTTACCAAGGTTTCATCAGACCAATTTAAACTTTTCTTTTGAACAGACCACTTAAGCTGATATTCAATTGAAGGTCAAGAGGTTTGAGGTAGGGATTGATGTACAAACTAAATGCCGAACTTATTAAAACGCTGAGGCAAACATTCCAAGCGTTTGAATCTGCTCGGATGTATTTCATTTTCTTAAACCTTTTCATGAAGGCTAACGATGAAAACCAGAGGAAATTCCAAAATAGTTAGATAATCGTATCCGCGATATCTGATATTTCTCAGCGTCTTGCTGGCATGGATATGAGATGTCCTATCAGAGATTAGGTCGAAAATATGTATGCTTTTGCATCACGCGGAAGTTTTAGAGTCTTTCCGGTTGGATGTAAGATGTTTCTTTTGAATCTCCTTTGCCGAGTGGGTAGTTTAGGCACATTTGTTATCGGAATTGTCTTTCACCCAAAAGTTAATACAAGTTTTTGTGGCCTTGCAAAGGAATGCAATTGAGGGGAAGTTCTCAAATAACTCACGCAAGCTTAGTTTCTCAATCCGGGTTATGACAGGAGTAAACTCCAGTCGTCAACGTTAAGATGAGTAAGCAGCCCTGTAACTAGTATTTCTGGCAGTCATTCGTCTATAAGCAACACGAACCATATCATCGCTGAAGCTCTGCAGCTTCAATATTAACGATATTATGAAAGCCCTTGCTCCACACTAAAGGTATCTGTTCCTTTGTTACTTTAATTATTAATTTATTATTATTGAGCAAGTTTGGTATAGTAAGAAGAAATTAGAATGGCTTTTTTTCGGCGTTTAATCGATCAAGATCGAACCAGAATTCCACAAAGGAACGAAATGACAGATCATAAACAGTTTCGCGCCAAATGTCAGTTACATGCACACTTTGTTACAGCTTAAATGAGCAATCTGCTTCGCAAATCTTTGGTTATTTTGAAATCATTTCACGTCCTTCAAAAGAGTTCTTAAAAGATTACCTTCTGACAGATGAGGAAGAGTCACACGCTGATAATCCTCCTTTGCGTGACTTCGATTTACCGTCCGTATGCCACTACCTTATCAGCGAAACAGTTATTTGATCAATTTTAATGGAATTAGGAGCTATTTATGTCCTCCAGCTGTGTTGTGATTGCAGCGTCTAGAGCGAGGTCACGCGAAAGACGAAAGAAGTCACTTGAACCTTTCTAAGTACTGCAACCTGACACCAGGCATTATTAATTGGCCGTGCGTCACGAAACACAATACACAGCTTGTGTTTTGCCTGATTGAATGTCTATATTCACAACGAAAAGCTCTTGGCCCGGCCGTGATCGTTGTCTCATTTGTCTGGTCTTCAATTGAAAAACACTCAAAAGCTCTTCGCCTAGAATAGACAATTCTTCAGACGATAAATATCTCGACGAAACGATAGATCTACGGACTGGTAACAGGAATGGAAAAGGAACTGATTGGTTCGCGTTGTTCGAGTTGATATTTGCTGTTCGAAAACTTGCAGTCTTTTGGTTGAGTGATATATCAAGAACGGAATCTTACCAAAACAGTCCAAGACACAATAGTGTACAATATAAACAAGAACCTATATACTTAGGTTGTTATTCGAGGTCATTGGCGTAGATGTCTTTTCAAGGGGAGCATCTGGCTGCCTTTTAAATGGATTCTGGAGAATGAAACAAGACAACCGTACAGTTATGACATCCGCAGTTCGTCGACTCGGCCAAGAGATTTCTAAACTTGGGCTCCGGATGCGTAATCGATCTCCATCTGGCAGTGATAGTGATGTGTTCTCTTCCACGGATGAATTAGCAGGTAAGAGCAGCTTGGACGTTCAGTCGGAGAACACTTTGTCCGAGGATAATTTGGAAAACGATGGAGCCTCAGGATCGAACAGTGTTGAGCAACTAATTACACAAAGACGGCATTCGAGGAATGATCTGGACGAAGACGTGGAATGTAAAGAGCGCCGAAGCTCTATCAAAGCTGCGCTACGGCCAGTTCTTTCTCGGAAGGCTCGCTCTGATTTAGCAAAATACACACGTCCAAACCAAGACCTTAATCTTAAGCAATTTGACGAGCGGAAAGGAAGCTCCGCAAATGGTTTTAGTGAGGAAAGTCTCAAAGAAAATAATGTCGATGGCCTTGGAACCGACAAGAACGGAAAGGGTGAGGAAAGATCTTGTGAAATGTCTTCCGCGACATATCGTGTTGCAGTTGGAGAGAGTCAGACCGAGGAACACGACGACAAAAAGATAAAAGCGAAACGACCGAGGCGTCCCAAACGAAGTAAGTCTTTCACTGGTTTGTTGAACTGGAGACACGGAGCTAAGCAACCTAATAAACAAGCGAATGGGAACGACAGCGGCAAACCAGGTGCACGAAAACTGGTACGAACTAGAAGCAATTCGTTTAGTGGCAACGTGGACAGCATTCGCAGCACTAAGAACGCAATTTCTAGAACGTTACCAAATCATAATTACATGGCAGAAGATGTAAACGAAACAAACGGAAATAACACGGCCAAACTATGCCCCCAAATTTATGTTACTTCTTCCTCGAACGGCGAAGAGTGCGCAAATGGAAAACGCTTAAGCTATATGGCCTTAAAAGGATTTAGATTTGAACAGGGTATGATTGAGACAGATCTGTGTTCAACTGAGCTTTGAAAGGTTTGCCATTCAATACTTGAAATCGAGAACAAGAATATGTGATGTTACTTTGATAAGTTGATGTAAGGCTGCCATAGACTGAGTTGCCTTAGTACTTGACCCGTGCGACTTGAAATTGATAAATAAATTGTCTGTTGTCTACGTTGTGGCGAGCTGAAATGTAGTTTCTGGTGGAATACGGACGGTCTATCTGGAATTACAGCAGAAACTTGATTAAATCTTATGCGATTTATTAATGTTTAGATCCGGATGTTTGCATGGCAAAATCCTTGATTAGCAAAAGCTCTAAAAGAGCCGAATTTATTGACAATAAAAGGGTCAAGGAGTTGTAATCCGTTCTGAATGTAAATGATGCCTCAGCAGTCAACTGGAACTGTTTGTTTCTTTGAAGAAGTTACAACCACTTCGACTATGCGAGGTTTTTTTATTGCCTAATCGTGTAATGCATTTCTAAGCAGGTCAGTCGAAATGTTGACCCAAATTCGAGCAGTCAAATTGTATAATAGTTTTACTCAGAATGATGGATCATGTCTTATCACATGATCTTAAGCTTATCTATGCCGACTAGTGTTATCCTATCATAAATAACTTATCCTTTACTTTTGTACACATCTAAAAGGAAGATCTAACTTGTACACAAATAAAACATTTGTTATGTTACTTAGAAAGCGGTTTGAGGCCAATAATCAATTAACAACCCCTGGTTTCCTGAGCGAAATCAGTCAACTGTAAGATCTAAATTTGTAACATTCACATTTTCAGAGAAGCGGAAACGCTTCATGCCAAAAGAATCGAGCGTGGTTTTATAAAACTGTCTCAAGCTGTTACAACTGATCTTTTGAAACATCTATTGAAGAATTGCTGCTTTGTACGAAATAAAGTGAAGAGAAAACATACCGGGATTGACTTTTTACAAGTGTCGTGACGCTCTCCACGGTTTTCGATTCCTAATAATAAACTTGAAACTCCATTAACACTCGGCCTTGTCACAGAATGCTCAAAGTAGAAATTCTCCTCAGGAATCCTTTGACTGAAGTAACGAGGACTTCGTTACATTTTCATAAAATTCTTTGAGTTAGTTGTACAGATAGTGTTTAGAGAAATTTAATGTGAATAGCTCTTCAGAGCATAACGTAAGTATAAAACTGATAAACATAGAGGTTCTGCTTACATCCCTGGTCAAATTCAATAAATCACTCTAGACAGAAAAGTGTCAAGAATGATTGGGAGACTCCTGGAAATAATTACACTTTGATTGAACGCCTGGCAGCTACGATTTTTATCCGTTTAAGAATCAGTAGAAGTGTAGAAAATGGCATTTCCTCCACTAAATCATTCAATTACTTCACGGAGCTACATCATTATAACTTTAATTGGATGAGGACGTTTAGATAAAAGTTTACTCGGGCAGAAAAAAATCCCAAAGGGGAAAGAGTTGGTGGAAGAGAAGTACGAATGGAGAAAATTGGCCAGGATTACAAAATGCCGAAGCAGTGAAGGAGTTGTCTTTTGAAAGCTCCTCCCGTAGATGTCTGCATTGTCAGACATTGAAATCCCTTCGCACGATGTTTTTGATCACTACGTCAGTAAAAAAAAAAAAAAAATTGCTTGAGATCAACATCCTTTATTTACTCAAGGGTTGGCATGCTTTCACGTTTGTTCTAGTCAAGTTTGACTTTGGTGAAATTTTCAATCATCGTTCAATCCTGATCGTTACAGTTCAGAAACATGTTCCAGTATTGCACTACGCCTTACGTTTAGGCATGCAGTAAACAGCTTGTGTATGTCAACAACACAATCGTAACTTAAGTCATATGTCATCAAAAGAACGCAACAAAATGGAAGAAAGATCAAGAAACATAATATTACGACTTTCACTCTTCAATCATAATTTTGATGGCACGTTTTCGACTCCGTGCGCCTTTGTCGTTTCATAAACTCAATAGAAAATATAAGAACACTCTCCGTGAGAAGGATTAGGATTTAAGAAGAAGAAAACCCATCAAATTAACCAATGTGACAAGCAATAACTTTGGTGTGAATTTTATGAGGGACAGGTACACTTTTGGTCAACGTTAACTTAATGCCATCATTAAAAGGAGAAAGTCTCCTTAGTCGCTCTCTCTGAAGAGGTGCACGTAACGATAAGAAAAGTGATAATTCGATCATGACATGGGCTATTTCTGGCATTTTGTAAATGAATCGTCGGAGTGGTGATAAGCGCCGGCGATGATTCTTGTTCCTACAGATTTTGATTTATAGGAGACTAAATCTGTAGATTCAAAATTACTCATAACAGAGTCGATCTATGATCACCAATAGAATCTTTGAAACTTAATAAACCTCAAAGGTACTTTTGAGCGAGAAAGGATTTACTTGAGAAGTTGCTTTTTCATCAGAGACTCCTCGATCTCTTCTGAGATGTTCATACGACTGAGGGCGAAATGGTGTCGTCGAAAACAGAGACTGATTTTGGACATTCCGAGTGAAAATCATCATAAAAATGCTTTTTTCAGAAAGTTGTGTTCAGCTCATCAAAAAGTTAGGACCTGTTACCGTACATATTTCCTTTTATGTATACCCAGGGCCGAAGCACGCTTTGCAATTACCATGACAACGTATAGGTTTTTCGTGTAGCCTACATGAAAAACCTGTACGTTGGATAGTATCCTGGGATTTGGCCTATCGACCTTGTTTTTGTTTTGTTTGTTCAGTGGTTTTCCTTTTTTAATGTGGTCTGTGTCTTTTCTTTGAATAGTCTTGCAATTCAAGCACCAAAAATAGGAATCAAAACGTTGCAGACTGGTTTTTGAGTGAGAATATTCATTACAATGCTGAAGATTTAGATACTCCAATGAGGCTGTTTAAGATGCGGGCACTTTCGAGGAATGAGTGCTCATCAAAATCACAATAATTCCCGTGTTTAAACCATTTACAAGGGTAACACCGATTGTAAGTATTTTCCTCAAAACATACCGATCTAATTAACTCGAGAAAACACGTTTTTCATTTGCGAGGAGGGATCACTCCCAATATAATTACAGTCGGATGGCCTCCTAGAAAGGGGGCGGGACTCTCTTGAATAGGATCCATGTGATACTTTATTCTTGATGCTCAATAATCACCACTTCACTTAAAGCATAAAAAATTTACATCGATTTAATGATCGTTTTCGTCCATATCATATTGTTAAAATTACCATCTCAAATACGAGTAGTAACCCTGAACTCCCAGAATTGATCAACAAGTAACCTCTCCCTATAATATCTAAACATTATCCAGCAAACAGGTTATAAGAATATTCAAACTTATCAGGTTGGGGTTGTTATCTTGATCTCAAACCAAATTCTCTTTACTTATCTAAAGGAAAAGTGTGGCAGTTATAGGGGAGAACTAACAATCAGATCTTGGGAGTTAAAGGGTAAAGGCAAAACACCCTTTTGACTTGAAAATCGATTTCGTAATTTACCAATCACCCAAAAAGTCGACATTTTCAGTTGCAAGATCTGTATATTCGTCACAAAATAGTTCGCTCAAGGTCATGCAATTACCTATTGCCTTCAAATAAAGGAAGAGATCTGATTGTGGCTACCACAGGCGGAGTGGAGGAATTTTTAGGTAAAAAGAGGGGGAAAAAAAGGCCAGAAGAAACGCGGTTACTGGAGAGAGGAGGTAAAAGAGAGAGCGGCACTAGATAGAGGGTCCATCGAACATAGAGTATTAAATAAGGAAAGAGGGATCTAGGAGGAAATGGCTGCTAGGAATGCAATATCAGAGAGATGGGATATGAGAGAAAGAGAGGTTAATAGATTATGGTATCCAAATGTAGAAAACACCTAGCGGACACCTCGTTTGATCCCCCACTGGAAGACTTAAATTTGGCGTAGACGCTCTCACCTCGAAACTTTGTTTTTCAATGTGTTTATGTCTGACAATTTTATTTATGTTGATGATGGCTATTCTTGCAAAGTGTAATTGGATGTTGAGTTAATCTTTACGAAGAATTTAACTTTTGTTTGGGACTGCTCTGAAACGTACGGGAAAGGTCAATCGTGGGGGACTTACATATTTGATATGACTTGGCAGAAAGCGGCGTCTGAGAGGGATCTTTTAAATTTACCAGTCTGTGTTTCATATGAAATTCTGTCAGATCAAATTCTCCATCCAAATATTTAACTCCGGCTTTGATCGAATCATCGCAACCGAATAAAACGCATGGAGGTGATACAGCAGCCTGAATGAAAAATGCTCTCCTTCCGTGATTTTCGCTTTCGCCCACACAGACGTAAAAAAAGCATTTATAACCGCAAAGTAATTCCTATTTCTTTCAGCAGAGTTATATTTTTAATTAAGTCTGAAGTAAACTCCTCATGCGAGAAGTACGTATCAGTATCATATGAATAGAAGCTAGTCAATTGATGAAATTGAAAAATAAGATCAGTTTCGAATACTATCAGGTTTTGTTTGTCTGTAGGATTATAGCAGTCGTAAATTGGACATTTATGACTTGTGTATAACTTACAGGAAACGGTGATTGACAAATTTTGATAGCGATACTAATTAGCGAATGGTAAAGTTTTAACAAACAACAATTTATATAAACTATTTGTTATTCATCCCTTTTTATATTAATTTAAAGCTGTCGAGTACTATTAAAGTTTCCACTGACCTCATTGTCCTCCTACAGATCAGTTGAGCACAGGTCGGTTTCTCTCGCAGCCGAGTTGAGGAGCTCACTCCACGAACTGCTCCCTTTCAATACCTCCGTAGGGCTAATTCTCAAATTCCCAATGGTATAAATATCGCTCCACGAGAAGCTTCTTTTCCTTCGCGGTGGCGTTTTGTTTCCTCTCTTTGTAGTTGTAGTGGTTGTTTCAGAGCGGCTTATAGCTGAAGCCTGTTTAGGATCCTCCATTAAACCCTTTGTTGGATCGTTTGCCAGCTGTTGTGCTGTGTTCGCCTGCTCGACTGTTGTGATTGGATGCGTTAAGTGAGAGGTTCTGTCCACTTCTTCGGGTGGTTGAATGCAAATTGTAGGAATCACAAAGTTATTTTGCTCTAATTTTAAGCCTTCAATCTGGGAAGGCGGCTGACTAACCTTAGTGCAATTGTCGTCCTGGTTAAATATTTTGTCGTTCTCGTTACTTGTAAACAAAGTGCCGCAATTTGAGTTACTTTTTTTAAGCCGGTTTTTTGTTCTAAACAGGATCTGAAGTAAGGTTTGCGTGTCGTTTTCTTTCTTTAACACTCTTGGCAGGGAGAACGATCTGGTTCTTCGAAGCTCTTCCCCACTTTGACCAACAGAAGGACGGTTCTCGAAGTTAGCGCAAGGAATGCTTTCAGCTGACCCTCCAATCTCCTGTTGCATAGAAATATTTTTCAAACAAATATGACCATCTTTTCTCTTACGCATTTTTTGTCTCACTGTGGCCATTTTTGAAGTGGTAATACGACGGAATTACTCGTAGAAAAGTACTCTCTGATGGACTCAACGATAGATGTTGCTAGTATACCTTTGACTTCAGTTATTTAAAGAAAATGACATTCAAGTCACATGCTAAAAGTCACGCAAAGATCTACGCGTGTGATAGATAACCCAAATTTCCTTTCGATTAACGAACAACGCCTGGTTTCCTGTGCTCAAACGATCCGCGCTCTTTTGATGCTGTTATGTGGTCAAGCGTACAGATTGATTTTCTGTTACACCACGAAGTGGCATGGCGAAACCAGCCATCTTTCTGTTTTTGAATTAAGTTAAAGAGGATTGCACTGTTAACACCTTGTCAGGAACTTTAAGGTCAACAACAGCAAATGCAGTCTAATGTTGTTTTTAAAAATCGAGAGGGAAAGAAAAATCTTGGTTTTCTGAGTAGAGGACTTAAATTGCAACCAGTGGCCACTATGACTACGATTTCATCGGCAGCAGCTGAGTATAAACGAAAGTAAATGTTAAGGAGAAAAACAAAATACTGTCAGACTCTTCATCAACGTTCATAACTTCCTATAATTGATAAAACATGAGGTAATATAATATATCAATAACCATCGTGCTAATATAGGTGTAGTTAGCTGTAATTGAGAGGTAATGGTTGCATTAAGTTGTTTGAGAATAACGTTTTGCGGATGAATTGAGCACCTCTGGATTACACCTCATGCCATTTTGTGTCTATAGTTCCTAATGCGATTCAAGCTTCAGTCACTTTTTGGAGCAGACGGATATCTTAGAATAAGTTTCTGAAGAAACTGTGATGCTTGCTTTGGCGGAGGTATCACAAGATAATTTGTTTGAATTAGTACTTTGAAGTGGCCATCTTATTAAAAGGATTTTTAAGCTGACGTTACGAGCGTTAGCCCTCCGTCAGAGCTCAGACGATGGCCAATTCAAATTATCAACACAATCGATTTAAGCAAACTATCTAGGTGGATACCCTGGTTGACGCAGGAAGTTCAAGTACAACCCATCCGTCCTGTCAACAATATGAGCTGCCAACATGTTTAAGTTATTGTTTCAAAATTCGCTTTGAGCAAGCTTAGTTAATTTAGACTAACTTTGACTCCTTATGACGTATTTGGTGTCATCTTAAGCCGCGCTCAGAGCATCTTTCTGAAAGATATATATATATTAAAAAAAAAAGTCGTCACGACTTTCATGGTCCGCCTACGATTTTTCGAATGTTTAACGTCATAGAAAATCACTTTTAAGCTTCCGATGGAAACTTCGGAAAAACACCATAGTCACGGATTAGGCAAGTTTACCTTAAGCCTTAAGTAGAAGATTGCCAATATAAATATTATTATAGCAATTCAACATATAACTTCTCCCTATAAGGCCAATGATTCATTATCTAGCAACCATGTAATGAAAACGGCTTATTCGATTGTGAAACATTTTAAACGGCCGGATCTTCTGCGAGTTGCGTTGTTTTTTCACGAGGTTCGTACTAATGGGCGAGAAAAAATACGAGCAGTGAGCAAAATTTTCGCGCGTATTATACGTCAAACCATTGAATATGTGATTTATTATTCCACCGTTATTCACTTTTCTAGTATTTTAGCTTATAATTATAATTTCGACGGACTAATCCGAGCATTGTATCGATCGCTTGAGGCGTGGGCGAAAGTGCGGAAAAACAACACAAACGAAACTATTAAACTAATTTAAAAAAAACTGACGTACTTAGAAGTTCTTTGCTCAATAGGAAAAGGCTTATACACCGGAAATAAGCAAAGCTTGGAACTTTCACTGGGCCCATTATCTTTTTCTACTTTCCGTCTTTATTTTGCCTTGTACTATACCGTGGAATTTTTTTGGCGTTCCGGTGCTCTAATATGTTAGAACTGTGAAATATAAAAATAAATAAAAACGGGTACACGTATGAGGCAGTGGGTGTTATATTCGATGATGCCAAATCCTCTTTACTTATTTACAATGAAATGATTGGCTAAAAAGAACTATGAATCAGATCTCGAGAGTTTCACGGCAATTACATAGAGTAAGCGTGCCTTTGTTTTTGTTTGTTTGTTTGTTTTTTCGCTCAGGGGCCGACGACTCACTGCGCACTGGATTTGTTGCTCTGAAACGACTTATTGCACTCTGGATTTGTTTTGCAATCAATGATCAATAAATTTTAAAATTCATCTTCTGACACGAAATAAAGCACTCAGGTCATGATACCGGATTGAAAAAAACTGATAGAGTGTGGAGATAAAACCAACCTCTCACATGTGTAACTTACAAAGAAATGTTTTGTCTTATCTTTGGGATCTTGGCAGTAAATGATTTGTGGTGGTTTGTAACAGAACTAAGGGGAATTGCATGACTCAAAGTAATGGCTGGCCCTTTTTCGACCATAGCTTTTTGTATTTTGGTTTTGCTCTGATCAAGTCTTTTCATATTATATTTATCATCTGATATCATTATATTGCGTGCGTACACTTGAGAAGGTCTTTACGTCCTTGAATTAATCTTTGACGTCATGAGTACCACCAACTCATCCTTAGATGATCGTGTTAACGATTATTCTGAAACAGACTCCTTCACAGCTTTTGAGCATTCTTTAATAAACAACACAGCCGACAAAGCAAGTCACCACAGCAACGTAATGAACAATTCGATTACCTTAATTTGAGTTTGAAGTGATCAACTTAACAATGAGCGCCTTTTTTTAAGGTGGTAATTATTCAGTTATGATTGAATATTAACCAGGTTCATCTGTTCTTAAATTTGAGCTCAAGTTCATGTTTTGTTTCCAAAGTTAAGAATTTGTTGTCAATTTATTTCTGTAGTAACTCTCATGTCTGTGAATCCATCGACACTTTTATCAGTTATTCCCTTAATCACTTTTGTTGTTAATGTATGACGACTAAGCCTTAGATTGAAGGATTTTTATCATAATTACCATGTTTTGAGTAACTTCCTGCGTCGCTTTTGAAAAAAGGATATCCTCGGAACATAACCCTAAACTTGGAGACAGAATGCAGTGCAAATGATATTTGATTCAACAATATTGAGCATATAATTAATAACAATTATAATAATTTTACAATTATATTATTATAATTAATAATTATAATAATTATAATATAATAATATATATTATAATTATTATAATAATAATAATTATAATTGTTATATTTTATAATTATTTATTTATATTATTATTCAACAATATTGAGCTAGGTGGTTGTGTCTTCGTTCGTATTCTACACTGACTATAATTTTCATAACCTGCAATTCGACTTTGATACAAGCAAACTGATGGATAGTATCAAGACAAACTGTTTTATTTGACCCATTTTACGCCATGACTCAGCGGCAGTATAAAAAGGCTACACGGCCGTTGGTGACTCGTGAAAATAACAACCACATGCTTTTATAGGCTTTTCGTTTACAATCCCACCTGCTTTTCTCCGTGTTCAAGCTTTCTCGTATCTTTTTGGTCAATTCTTTCCATTTTGGTAAGCTATGTTTGGCAAGACTGCCGGGTTTCTCTCTCTTTAAAGGCAGGTATTTTGAATTTGAAAAGCATTTGATATACCTTAATTGAGTGCGAAAACATTCTATGTGATGGAAATAATTTTGGCTATTGTAGTAGCATTCTTACCATATATAGATGGCTTAAAATGATCAGCCCTTTTAAGGTGAAATACATGAATATTTTTCATAGGTTAGAAAGTTCAATTCAATAGATAGCTGATTACTGCGCATAGAGATTATCTTTTCAGCACAGTTATTGAACGCTAATAAAACCGAATGGCATTTTCAGGGCTACCATTAGACGGACTCATTCCTGCAGGAAAGAGGAAAAACGAGCTAAGATCGCTGGGTCAGAAATGAAAGAGGGAATAGGCCTGGAACCCGGTTCAAAAGTGATCATCTGACATACATTTTTATTCGTTATGACGGTCTTTCATGATGCTCTAACTAAACATGCAGAGGACAGAGTCAAGTAAGTGTGTCGTTACTGGCAAGATTTTGTAGATAGATATTGTTCAAGGCTATATCTGGAGAAAAGTATTACCAAAGCTTACCAAGTTCAGGTTTTTGCGAAAGACTACCCCCCCTCTCAACCCGGCTCCCCTCTCCTCCTCCCCCCCTCCTTGCCCCCGGAGTGGGCTTGGATAGCTATTGTAGCCGCTGTTGTTTATCAAACTCAATCGTTGGTCAGGGGCACTCCTCTATTTCTATAGACACATGTTACCATAATTGTTATTTGTCAGTCATGTAAGGAAAATTTTAGCTAACTCTTTTTTCACTAAGGATTGTATGTTGATCACCGATTGTACAAAAACTCTCCAGAAAAGAGTCCAGAGGAAATCGCAAAAACAATTTAGGATCACGTATAGAGGCACAAACGCAAGCTTGACTGTAATGTTTGAGCAGCTGTCCATCAAAATCCTATAGTCGAACCAATGATCGCAATTCCTTCGGAAACATGCCAAAAATAACTTTTCGTGGTCGTCATAGGTACTAATATCTGTTTTGTTGGCCATTATCTGGCGGGTCTAATTTTTTCATCCAATGCACACAAAAGCTCTAATTTTCCAAAACGTTTATGCAGTAACTGTCTATTGTTTCTATGTACGTACAAAAGCACTCTTCAGATATATTTATCTAAACCAGGGTTATTTTTAGATCCAAGTTGAGTGTGACCACTGAACAATGGAAACGTCTTCAATGCTTAGCGTGTACTTTGATCCTGCACTCAGGCATTTAATGGTTTTAATGGGACCCGTGGGAAATCTATATACCTTCATGTTGTAAACAAGGATGTGGCTGTCGATGAAGCACACAGACTAAAATTATTTAGGGCTAAATCTATGAGTGTGACTGAATATTTGATGATCTTCGTTAATCTTTGACCTTGCATTGTTAGCAGCCGAGTTAAATTAACAATCTAATTTTAGCCCGAGGTTATCGGAACATCTTTCAAATACGAAGTGTTTTATTGATGCAGCACTTGTCGAAGTGTTTGGATTCCTGGCTTAAGGCTGCAATTACCGTCAAATGACACAGCACATTGCCACATAACACACCAATCAGCGAGTTTGAAAGCTTAGTGTAATCACATGACAAATAGA